GGTGCAGAAGCACTTTATGGGTCTCACCGAAGAGGCTCTCACAGACTCGCCACCCACCACGCCCAATCCGCAGTCGCCAACCGCCGTTCTCGGCATGTCGACCTCCGGCTCAGGCCTCGAGCCGCTCCTCAACATCATGGGCGACTACAGAGGCCTACCGGATCCCAGCCTCGCCAATCTCGAAAAGATCGACTCCATGCTCAAGGACACCACCGTACGCGGTCCCATGATGCGCGAAAAGCTCACCACCTGGCTCATGGAGGCACACTACATCCGCAAACTCGTCCCCTTCTTCCACTCCGTCGAGGAGCTCGAGGCCCTCCCTGCTCTCCACATGCTTTGCACCATCATGCAGACCATACTCCTCCTCAACGACAGCTTCCTCTTCGAGTACATCCTCCAGGATGATGTCTTCCTTGGCGTCGTCGGCATGCTCGAGTACGATCCCGAGTTCCCGCGTCTCAAGGCCAACTATCGCGACCACCTCACTCATCGCGCCCGCTTCAAGCAGGTCGTCGACATTGGCGATCCAATGATCGTCGCCAAGATCCATCAGACCTACCGCCTCCAGTATCTCCGCGACGTCATCCTCGCTCGCGTCGTCGATGACCCCACCGTCTCCATCCTCACCTCCTTCATCTTCTTCCACCAAAACGACATCGTCAACTACTGCTGCCAGAACGAGCTCTTCCTCAGCGAACTCTTCCGCGTGCTCACAAATCCAGAAGAGCCGCTGGAGCGTCGCTCCGAGGGCGTCCTCTTCTTGCAGCAGCTCTGCGCCATGGGCAAGCACATCCAACTTCCCGCCCGCATCTCGCTCTATCGAACCATGACCGACTGGGGTCTCCTCAACGTCCTACAGTTCGCCCTCGAGCAACTTGGTCAGACCGCCCGCAACGCCGCCGCCGAAATCCTCATGACGATCATTGAGTACGACGCCAACAGCGTGCGCGCCCACGTCGTGTCCCAGGTCGAGCAGAACTCAAGGCCCTTGGTCAGCATGATGATCGACCTGCTCCACAATGAGCAGGATCCAGGACTCAAGACGCAGATTGCCGAGGCGATGCGCATCATCTTCGATGTCGGTTCCGACGGAGGTCCCATGGCCAGCCAGGCACCCAGCGTCACCGTCCAGGGCATCAACAAGTCCAAAGCCGATCCAGATCGCTTCTTGACGTGGATCTACGAAGCCGAGATCGCACGTCTTTGCTCGCCCTTCAACTCGCTTCCGGACTTCCGCATGCTGTCCAAAGGCGAGAAGCTGCCTGCTCAGCCGCGCAATCGCTCCGGCCTGTATGCTCACCTGTGCGACTTGCTCTGCCACATGATCGCACATCATTCCTTCCGAAGCCAGTACTTTGTGCTCACCTCCGAGATTTCCAAGAAGGTCGGCTCGCTGCTCCATTCGCGCGACAAGTTCCTTCGGCTCTCGGCGTTGCGCTTCTTCAAGTACTGCCTGGCGAGCAACAACCAGTTTACCAACCGTCACTTTATCAAGATCGAGCTCCTCTCCACCATCCTCGGCTTGATCGAGGCCGAGGCGGACCGCAACAACCTCGTCGCCTCCGCCTGCCTCGACTTCTTCGAGCACATGAAGAGTCAGAACATGAAAACCCTGATCAGCCACTGCATGGAACGACACGGTGCCCGCATGCGTCAGCTGGCCGAGCTGCCTTACACCGCCCCTTGCTTCTCCTCGCTGGTCGACGAGTGGGAGAGGAATCAGGAGCCTCTAGTACCGCAGGAGAGCGGTCATGCAGCTCAACGACCAGGCGGTGCTGACGACAAGTCGCGGCAGCCGAGCGATGCTGCACGCGATGCTGTTGCTGCAACGGCTGCGGATCCGGACGAGGACGCCTACTTTCAAAGCGACGAGGATCCTAAGGACATTCCTCCGCGCACGTCGAGCAGTGCGTCTGGCTCACTTGTTCCTTACGGTGACGACGACGAGGACGACTTGGCAAAATCCGAAGACGACACAGCGGGTGGCAGGAAGGCGACCGATGCATCGGCAGAGGCAGCGCTATCGCCAACGTCGCTCAGTAGGATCCGGGAAAAGCGCCGCAGGAGCGAGGACGACGACGACGATGACGCAGACGATCAACTGTCTCGGCTGTCCAAGCGCAAGTCAGGGCGCATGTCGAAGAACAAGAGCAAAGGCGAGTCATCAACCGGCAGTGACGAGGCCGAAGCTGGAGCTGAGGTGGCCCAGCAGCCCGGCGGATTCATCCGCAGCATGGCCAACACGATCAGCAACACTTTCGGTGGCGGCAACAGTGGCGGCTCCAGCAGCGCAAACAACAAGCGCGAGGGCTCTCGCTCCCCCTCTCCGAAGGGATCGAAAAGCGCCCGCTCGGAAGATTCTAGCTCGTCTCCACACAGAGACGCCGAGAAATCCGGCTCGGCGGGCGGCAAGAGCAGCACTGCAAGCAGTCTCAAGAACGGAGGCATCAGCGGCGGACTCGGTATCAAGCGCATCTCGCTAGGGCTGACTGGTTCTGCCAAGAAGATGGCCGCCCAGTCCAATGTGCGTTCGACCGACAAGCCGGATGAGCAGGATTCGTGAACGGGCGTGATCTCCAGGCGCGCCGCATCTCTTATTTACGATCGATCTTGTCGACCCCAGGCCACGGGCATGGCTGGGCGAGCCGAGCGACCGACGTCGGCGTCGATTGTTGTAACATGTACTCCCATTGTAGAACACAGCTGACTTTTCAGATCCGACATTGGTTGATGATGGTGCAGTGAGTGTCGTGTGTTGAAAAGCTCGAGGTCGAATCATGTGAAGGTGTCGGCGAAATAAGCGGGAGAATTTGCGGTGAAATGCTGGGGATCCCCCGGGGGGGGGGGGGGGGGGGGGGCCC